TACCTTACTTATGCCTGTTTGTACACAGTGAAGCTTCAGGGGCTGCTTAATTGTTAATAGCACATGCATGTGTAATAAAAGGTTATGTTGATATACCTCAAGGTGAGGAAGACTTTTTGACTGATACCACACCTATAGTTTCACCCATTTCTAATGCTAATGATGTAAATAATTACAGCTTTAAGGTACATGTATGTCATTCAGACTTTAAAGGTTTGGGTAATTAGGTAAATTTTGCCAAGAAATGACTACTGAAAATTCTTCATTTATATAAATTTTGTAAGACACATAGATTGTCTTATGTTGCTTAGAAACTTTGAGCTGATTCCGATCAATCTTTGATTTTGATTTTTCACATTTTAGCGTATTCCAACAAATTTTGATTGTAATGAACTTTTACAGTTGCTCAAAAAATGGCTAACACACTGAACAAAATATGCTCAAGGTTAGTGTACTACAAATTATCACTGACACAAAAATGGTTAAGTCTCTTGTGTTTCTCTAGTACATATGGAAACTTCTCCGATTAAAGGTGACCAGGTGACCACCGGTGACCTGACTGACCTTTGGCGACCCATACCATCATATTGTTGTAAGTGAAGCTGTAACAACACAATGTGCACTTGATTAGATTGGGAAAATCGCTGTACATGTATTATATACTTATTTGGTTATGTATTCATTTGTTTAGGTGTCATCATGTGTTTGTCTGTGTGCCTGTGTTAGCAAAGGTGCATGTAAAATAATAAAGATGGTAATTTCAAATGTGTTTATTGCTTAACTTGTACTTTTTTGACTATATGTAGCTCTTCGTATTGATTTGGGGGTCATGCATTCATTAGTAATCCTAAAGAACTCATTAGTCGTCCCTTTTTCCTCTGCAAGACAGTGAAGATGATAAACATGAACAAGGAAGAGATGATGCATTTACATGCACTTCTCCTTTATGACTAGTGATATTCACCTGATACAAAATCAACTGGTTAGTCTGTTTGTATGTACCATTATGTACTGTTATTGCTGTTAGAATGCCTAGTCCCATAGTAAAGTTAGTGTCTGATCCCGAAGCATCAGTTTATGACACTGTTGGTGAACAGATCAACAGATATGGTAAGTACCGCCAAAAGCTATAGCATTGTCTCAGTCCAAATTTTGTGAGAAATGGCTCCGAGAGCAATCTCCAATTTCATAATTTCTTCCTGATGCATATTCCTGTTTTGTATGCTGTGTGTAGAGTTTGAGCTCATTCTGATCAAATTTGTTTTTATGTGTATTTTGAACTTTCTAAAAAGTTAATAAATCGGAGTTCTTTCACTAGATCAGAGTAAGTACAGATTAAAGAGGTAATCTTTGGGCCAGTTCCTGAAATTAGTGCTATAGTCATCATAAAGTGGACAAGTTAAAGGTTAGTGAACTCATGATTGTAAGATGCACGTGTATCTTAATATTTGTATTACATTATATACTACATTATTAAGATGGAGAATCATTAGGAAATTTCCCCAAGAGAATACATCTAAATAGATTTCAATAGATTCTCTTTCGACAGGTACATATAGGTATATGTGCAGCATCCTTCCCTTCCTCCCCTTTGTTACCTCTGGTATAAAGGTTACCTCTGAAGACCAGCAGGTGTAAAGGTTATACCTCCGATAACCAGCGATAACCAGCGCTAACTCTGTTGTACATGTAGCTGTAATAACAAAATGTCCACTTGATTAGATTGTGAGTTACTTATATTTATTTATATACCTTATAAATGTAATTGTGAATGAATGGTGTCAAAGATAGTGACTAAATATTTCATGAAGTCTGTTGTGCTATTGATTACGGTATACTACGTATCCACACACACTTTTGATCTCAGGCCAAATTTTGTCGACAATGTCTGAGAGAGAATTACTTATACATTCTCTTATGCTTGTACCTATTTTGAACTGATTCCTATCAATTTTGGATTTTTTTTACAAATTTGAATGTACTGTACATGTATTTTCATTTTTTTTAGAAATTTATAAATTTGGTGTTCTTTCACTAGGGAAGAGTCAAATCAGAAGAGGTATTCACAAGGCCACATTCTGAAATTTGTACTAGTCATCATAAACAGGACATGTTCAAGGTCAGTGTACTGTACTAACACATTTAAGATGTACACAGCCAAATATATTCAGGCCTGATTCAAAATGTTGCCCAAAATTAATGAATCAAGCCTGATATCAGTACTGGTGCTGCCCTGTTGACTATCATTGCTGAATCATGAAAGTCAGTCTAACTTGATCCAGTATAGATGCTTACCATGCCTGTACCGTGGCTGACTCCATGCTTGTATCAGGACTGATTGCCCAAACTTAATGGTCCATGCCTGATATTAGGCATGATCAACCATGATTACATTTGGCTGTGTACATGTGTATTCTCCTTATTTTTGTCATACATGTAGCCTTATTTTTGTCTTATGATGATGGAATACTTTCTCGCACTCCAGTTGACTTATGTCAGGCACAAGTCACTATGTGATTTGAGGGTAAGTATATGTCTCTACCTCGTTTATCACATTTCCCTCTCGTT